TGGCTGATATCACCACAGAGTCATCGTCATCATCACAATCTCGGCGTGGGTTTATGCTATTCACGGGTAAATCGAGAAACTGAGCGGAGACGTAGTGACCCCCGATCAGCATGGGCTCACGTTTCGAGCGTATGCCTCTGCTGTGATAGTGTCAGGCAAGCCCTTCAGGCCAGATGTGCGGCACAACCCACTGATATCGTTGATGCGGCTCAGCAGGATATGCTTCCGCTTGAGAGGGGACATACCACTCCTCGGGGGTATATAGGCTAGATCGATCCTCGAGGACCGACAAGGTGAAACTGAAAAGACGGTGCTCAGCAAAGACGGGTGGCGAGCTGCAGGCAGGCACCACGGGAGGCCTCCAGAATACTCACTTGCACGTGTGGAGGAGCTCACTCCGGGAGCGGTGAATGGCCGCTGGTGCTTCATCGTGGGTCCGGTGTCTCCGGATGCCAACTGCTTCCCTCGTGTCTTCCTGGTCACCATACTATCTTGTGATACTTTACCTGTAAAAGGTGTGGAAACAAAAGACAGAAGACATTTGAGGGTGTCGTGCATTAGTTGATCTAACGATGTCGATACAACATACTCACGTTGAAGAGATCTCCGGCTAGGGTGCTGAGGCATTTCCTCAGATGCCAGATGAACCATTTGGGTGGGCTCAAGGCACTTCCTGAGAGATACACTATAGCTCTCCTCCACCGTAGAAGGCTGCTCTACGTAATAACTCATCGATATCAGGTCTCCCTGACCATCGTACTATCCCCGATTGAGCCAACACAGTGCACAGATCATAAAGTAAATATCACAAGTATATATAAGTAAGAGGAGTAGCATCATCATTGAGGATGCTGCTCCGCTGGTATTTGGCCGCTATGACCACCTTCCTTAGTCGAACCCTTTGGGGATACATCATCAATCTGCCTAACATTATTGCTTTGAGTAGGCTCGTTCTCCACCGGGTCTCCATTGCCAGAGGACCGGTCATCGGTCTGCTTCTTCTCCTTCTCCTGATCCCAGTTGAGTATGGCCTCCAACCCCTCAGCCGCCACAGGGAGTAACCTTATCACAGTATCGAGCAATTGGTGAGCAGTATCCGTGTCCCTCAAGTCAGGATCTGTTGCAGTAACCATGAGTAGGTTGCGGACACCTTGTATCAGTCCCTCATCATGATCAGCATCAGGACACTTGCATACTGCCTCCACAAGGGACGGTATAGGATGACCCCATAAACCTTGGGATTTGGATAGGTGATAGAGAACGACTCTTAGGGCCACCTTGCTGAGTGTAGGAGAGTGATATCGCTGTAACAGTGGTATAAATATATCACTGACGAGCTTGACCCAATACTGGGAGGGTATCTGACTCTGCGGGCCCTCCAGTAGTAGGACACGAAGAGTGTTCTCAGCTCTACCAATCAAGGGCTCGTGTTGAGTGCGTACGATAATGGTGGCAACAGAGGTCACAGTAGGAATCCAAAGTGGAAGCCATTCTTCGAGTTCACCATGGGCTTGGGATATCACGGCTGGTAACAACGCTGAGAGCACGTCCAAAGACTTACCCGCTAGAGATTCATCGAGCTGACAAATAGAGAAGGCGCATAGTACTCTTGTGAGGGATATGTAGAGAAGGGATGATGCTGGGGAGAGACCAGACTCAGCAAGATGAGACACACACTGCATGGCAAAGTTGAAGGAGACTGCTGATGTCGATGGGCACTCGGCTATGGCTTGCAGTAAGGCAAGGATGGCACTGAGCGTCTTCTCATCGGGCTGCTGTTGACGCACCAATAGAAGCAATCCACTCGCTGCCCTCTCGGCTACTCTAGCGAAAACATTCTTGGGGGAGAGAGGCTAAACTGAGTAGCAGGCTTCGCACTGATGGCAGACATCGTCGACTTCTATCAGTCTTATGGAGATCCTCAT